TTATTATTATTATTATTATTATTATTATTATTATTATTGGGTAAGAAGGCATATAATATGATTCTGAGAATGCGAAGTGAAGGGGTACTTGTTTTATATATATATATAAATCTCTGAGTTTCAGTGACTGAAATATAGGTAGCGGCTTCGGGACGGGGGTGATCGACCTCGGCGGACTCCAAATCCAACAAATAACATCTTTCAACAAAATTTGGGCCGCAAACTATGGTGGGCCGGACAACCTCGGCGCCACATTCTTCGAGCCCGCCTCCATACCGGACGGGTTCTCGATGCTCGGGCACTATGCCCAGTCCAACAACCGACCGCTTTCCGGTTGGGTCATTGTGGCTAAAACCGACGCGAGTGACGCATTGGGGGAGATCCTAAAACCACCCACCGACTACACCCTCCAATCCACCGCTGACACCAATGCCTACTTTTGGACACCAACGGCACCCGATGGCTACAAACCCGTTGGCCTATTCGTCACGACCACGCCCGAGAAGCCCCCACTCGACAAAATCCGATGCGTTCGGGCCGACTTCACAGATGAGTTAGAGACCGATGTTGGTATTTGGAGCGGAGGTGACAATGGGCCAACGGCATATTGGTTGAGGCCCAAAACAAGAGGAAGCAAGGCCCCGGCCCTCAGTGCCGGCACATTCGTAGTTCTCAACGGCACCCAAGACCCGAATGCCGCAATGCCTATATCCTCTTTAAAGAACAAAAGCCCCACATTTTGGAGCATGCCGAACCTCGACCAAATACAAGCATTGTTCTCCACGTATGCGCCTTATATTTACTTTCACCCCGACGAAAATTACCTGCCCTCGTCCGTGAATTGGTTTTTTACCAACGGGGCATTGCTGTACACCAAGGGGAACGAGTCGAGCCCGGTCCCCATCGCGCTGCCCGACGGCCCGAATCTCCCTCCAGGCGGCCCGAACGATGGCTCGTACTGGCTGGACCTACCGGCCGACAAACAAGCCCGGGAAAAAATCGTGAGAGGGGATCTGCAGACGGCGGAGGTCTATCTCCACGTGAAAAACGTCCTAGGGGCGTCGTTCACCGATGTCCAGGTGTGGGTGTTCTATCCGTTCAACGGCAGGGCGACGGCGAGGCTCGGGCCGATTAAGAGGATCTCGTTGGGGCAAATCGGCGAGCACGTGGGGGATTGGGAGCACGTGACCCTGAGGATCAGCAATTTCGACGGGGCCCTCAGCAGGGTTTTCTTCGCGCAGCACGGCGGCGGGGAATGGGTCGATTCGTCCCTGCTCGAGTTTCCGAACGGCAACAAATTCGCGGTGTACCCGTCCCTGAACGGGCACGCGAGCTACCACCGGGCCGGGCTGACCCTCCTCGGGAATTGCGACGACGTCGGGATCAGGGACGACGCGGCGAGGGGCGAAGCGTCGATGGACACGGGGGCGAGGTTTGTGGTGGTGGCGGCGGAGGAGGTGGCGGCTCCGCCGTGGCTGGAATACAGCAGGGAGTGGGGCCCAAAGGTGAGCTACGACATCGCGGAAGAGCTGAAGAAGGTGGAGAAGGTACTGATCGGGAGTTTGAAATCCAAGTTCAAGAAATTTGTGAGCTCGTTGCCTCAAGAGGTTTTGGGGGAGGAAGGGCCAACCGGGCCCAAGATGAAGTCCAATTGGGAAGGGGATGAGAGCTAATGAATCAAATTAATTGATGAAATCTTATATTGTTTCTTTTTTTTAAAAAAATAAAAATAAAATAGAAGTATTTATTTTTATATGGGAGTGTAGTATATCATTATTTGCTCCGTAAAGAGAAAAAAAGAGAGAAAGAGGATTGAGTTTACACAAAATTAGTGAATCTTTGAAATTTCTCCTGCTCATTTATCTTCATCTATTGTTTAAATATTAACTAAATCAGAAATTATATGGAGTCATCCATAACTTTATCTATTAACACATGTCCCATGTGTATTTATTGCATGACATGTGTCAATACATTCTTTGTGAATAGCTAGGATGGCTTCATAGCAAAATCATCAACTAGATATCTAGGTAAATTCGACTCTGTTCGTTTATCTTGGCTAGTTGTTTAATTAATTTTCTATCAATAGATATTTTATGTGGGGTAAATTCGACTTTGCTCATTTATCTTAATCAATTGTTTATTTCATCTCATGATTGATATGAATACCAACTAGATATCTTATACATGGTAATTTGATTCTGCCCATAGGGGTCTGCTATAGATAGGAGTATAACTAGACATGGACATCTCGACCTAGCCGACTCAACTGGGCCACCAGGTCAACCGAGTCGTGTCTCCTGAAGTGTCGGTCGACCCAAGTGTAGAGCTGAAAAACCTAAATCCCTAAAACACAACTTCATGGCCAAGACGAACGACCTAAAATATAAACCCGACCTCATCGTCGAGCCGAGCCAAATGACCTAAACGACCCAAATGTGTTAGACGACCCAAACACTGCATTATATGCGTCACTTGGAGACCTAAAAGGATGTAAATAGGTTTTAGAAGAGATTAAAGGACCCAATGACCTAAATATGTCTTAGAAGGTACATTTAGATGGATTTAGAAGACCTCAAGGATAATAAATGAGTGTGAATTCTTTAAAGATAATCCTAGTCATAAGAATAAGGACGAATCTTGGGAAGCTCATCCGGGCAACAACTGGAGAAGCCTGTTGTACTTCCGAGCAGCCCTTTCTTGGGCAGCAAGACACCTTTAGGGTAAGATCACCACACTATAAATAGGGGTAAATGTATGATTAATGGCTCCTTATGCTTCTTTCCTTTTATGATATATGCAATTATCTTTAGTCTTCATCTTCTTCTAGATCCTTCGACCGTCGGAGTGCAACGTCGTGAGAACCTCTCAGCCCATTTTGAAGGTCATCATCTCCGCCGTGGACAACTTTATCTCAGACGACCAGATATTATCAAGCCCAACCGAAGGTTTAGAGAGGTTCAACCAACTTGCACCATAGTTATTCGTCTGTGAGAACACCAAATTCTACTTAAGTTGAGGTAGATGTTGTATCTTGCTACAGTTTGCACTACACTCCCATCAATTTGCAGAACAAAAACCAACGCACGTAGAAAGAGGTAAAAAAGACGGGTGGCTGTAGACCCGACCCTATGGGTCAAGGTCACCTATGGGGTGACTCAACAAAGAGTCATCTAGAACTCATGTTAATGATATACGCCTTCAAGTGATGTAATCGGGACCTTTGCTCGAGCTGGAGAACCCATCTCGCCATGGCATCGGGTCGTCGCTGCAGCTGAAAGTTGCTAAAGGCAACAAAGGTGCTATGGGACGAACCCAGGATGCAACTTCCACAACTTAGGATACTCGACCTAACGCACCAGAAGAGTCATTCATCCAAATCAAAAGAATAGAGCTACAGAAAATGATAGCATAGGCAGTAGTTGTGCACATTCAACCAAAACTAGCACCAGTGGTATCGAAGCTATAGCGCGGCTTTATAAGCACGGGGTTCTTTGAGACGTGAAGACGACGAGCCAAAATGCTCGATTAACTCACCAACACCGATACAAACTCGACGAGACCCGACGTTGGAGCGCATGACCATTCAGTTGCGTGAGCTCCAGGAAACAGTTGGGGGGGAGAAGTTCCTCGACTTTCTGGGCATCAGTTTGCTGACAAAATTTCGGATGTGGATCTACAACAATGGTTCCGATAGCTAATGTTGTCGTATGATGGATCTACCGACCCGACACAACGCTTGAGGAGTTTCGAGAAAATGAATGTCCT